ATTTATTCTTGATAAATGGTATCTATAATGATTCATATGAAAAAATTAGTTCTATACTCGGCATATGTGTAAAATAACAAAAAATCAACTTACAGAAAAATAATTAAATTTTCAATGTGAATGTTATATCATTGAACACAAATTTACAATTATTTCATAATCACAAAAAAATTAAATTTTCAATGTGAATGTTATATACATTGAACACAAATTTACAATTATTTTATAATTACAAAAAATAATTAAATTTACAATTCGAATGTTACATATATTTAATACAAATTTACGGGTCACCATTAAAATCGAACAAATCACAAGCTATCTTCTTTCTCCAGTTCTGTTTCCACGATTGGTTGATTTCATCAACCTTATGTCCTATACTTAAAAATTCAACGTACTTAATGACAAATATACCGCAGTCGCCACTACAATTGAATAAGAATGGATCGGTTCAGTAATGTGTAGCTAAAAAATTAAATCTGAAATATGAAAACAATAAAGTTCAAACACTTACCTTATGGACTGTCGCGTTATCGTTGTGTTCCGAACAATTCGCAATCTGTCTTGTACAGTCATCCCTGCTCGTCTGGCCATCATAGGAACAATTACAGCTACGGACTCCAGATTTTACTCCAACTGACCTAGTGTCAAACATGAATGATCTGGGTCATAGACATATATAGTCGTGTCAGCAAAAACGATCTCCAGCGTAACATAGTACTTATTGATGCACGCTGGAATGTACATATGTGTACAACGCTCCCATGATTTTTCCCCGACACTCGGTGACATTCCTATGACCCACTCGAACATATATTCTGGCATCGTGTACTCGTTACCTATGAGTTGGAGCGACTGATACTCTATGGTAACGACACGCAGGAACTCAGTGTTTAATATGACTCGACCATGGACGTCAAATGATTTTGGATGTCTTTGAGCTCGATCTCGCAGCAAGTCCATGGCCATGTCGATGTGCTGCATCAAGAAACACAAAAAAGTATGAGTTATTCATTTAATAAACACAAAGTGACGTATACATAAAAAGCACGAAATGAATAGTTCACTTACATCGTCGGGGAGCCTAACTCCCGAAGTGATGATATCGTGGAATCACTTATAAGCGTCCGAGACCGTCCGGTTATCTATCGTGCAGCTAGCTCTGAAAAAACAAAGAAATGTTAAAATAAGTATAGAGGAGTTAGCGTACAGTGCTTTATTAAAATCATACAATACTTACTCGGTGATAATTCTCCTCTACTCCGTCTCGAACGCTTTCTACTTGGCATTGTCCACCTCCCTGAATAAGTTCGGGTGCGTCCATCGATGAACGTCCTCCTCTTAACCTCAGCTGTGAAGGGGGAAACAACATACTGTGACAGCACTCTCAACCTCTTGCCGACCACCTGCTCCGTCTCATCAACAGCATGTCTCTTACTCTCAATCACGACGGACGTCCTCTCGACCTCTGTCGCCACCTCATCCACCCCTCTCATTTGGCCACCACCTCCGCCCCCCATCGGGACCTCTCCCTCCGTCGCCACCTCCTCCGCCCCTCCCATCGGGACCACCCCTTCCGTCGTCCCCTCTTCCATCCCCATCGGGGCCATCCTCTCCCCCTCCATAAACAACCACAATAACTCTAATATCTCATCATGCTAAAAATGTGGGTGACCCACCTCTCCATCACCATCTCTGCCACCCTCTCGATCATCATCTCCACCATCCCCTTTGTCTGCACATCGCCTAGCGGCTAAATCTCTTCTAAGTACCGCTACCGTATCTTGAAGGTCGACAACGCAAGACCGTAGCATTCCAACATCATGGAATAAATCGTCAACCCTCCCTGTTAACTCTCGTCCCATATCGTCGACCCTCACTGTCAACTCTCGTCCCAGATTATCGACCCTCTCCGTCAACTCTCGTCGTAGCGCGCCGATCTCCTCCGCTATAATTTTAGTCAGACTGGCATACAAATCATCACTGTGTGTCGGAGATACACGGGGGACGTGTCTAGACGAGGGAGAAGGAAATACCCTGGACGGTGGCGACGATGCTCTCAGCGGAAACGATACTCTCGACGGAGGTGATGCCAATGGTGACGGTGATACCCTCGACGGAGGTAATTGTCGATCAGCTGGACCACCCTCTTACATGAATAACATTAAAAATTATTCAATAAATTTATACGTCGACGATATTTAATAAATTATATTTAATTCACATACCCAATCTCGGTCCAGGCTCGGATCAGACATCTTCTCGTCTTAGGTGTGCGGAACGCCTAAATTCTGCACAATATCCCGAGTCTTTTCTTCCATCAACGACGTCAACTCAGGTATTATTTCAAGCTGACATATTGCCATTTCAACTAGTTACCGATTATGTAAACAGATTTCAAACTACGTATATTATAAATCACAAATGCATAATACTTACCTGAAGATCGTCGAGGAGGGCCAATAACTGTTTCCCAGTGGGACATTCATCCGCTTGTGACGATCTCCAATGATGCATCCGAGGGCATCTTGTCTCTCCTCACTTCGCGAAGCGGGCCCCCAGTGCAGGGATTGTCTCATACACCCAAATCTGCAACACATACACTTATTATGCATAAATGTAATATACTAAAACTTTCACTTTAATTATATTAAATATTTACCTGCACCGCTAAGGGCAATCCATATGTATCGTATTTACGCATTGACCCCTTGGGCTTCGAGTGTAATCTGGTGAAGACATGTACGGCGTCTTTTAGCATATTCGGCCCCATGGATAGTTGTTGAACGCATCGATGTCGTCAACAATTTCCAAATGAAAAATGTCGATGACAGTCTTCTTGTGATGACACCTCATCACACTCTCAAGGATGTATACCAGCCCAAGTTTCAATCTATCTAGCATCTGGTCGCACCCCTTGATCGCGACCATCAACTCGGGTATATGCACCGACCCATGTCCCTGGAAGTACATCTCGTGCAACCTATTGCTTCTCAATGGCTGTATCATCGCCCGTAATCCTCAGTCTAGTGATCAAGCTAAACTCATACATCGAGAAACTGACGACCTTGCCCCAAGTTCGAAGTGGAGGGAATCGCCGTCGATTGGCCTCAGAAGCCGACATAGAAGTGCATCGATGATCTATCCTGAGTACTGCACCTCTCGCATCTGGTATAGTGGCCGCAATAAGGACTGTTGTAGCATATCTCCGTGATAATCATCAAGCAGCTTCAACACCGCAGTAAAACTCTCAAAGCTACTGTTCCAAGTAGCTTTCCCCGTCATCCGTCTCAACTCCCCATCTAAATGATACTCCATCCTGCAAAAATTCAAATGTTATAACATTGAATAAGAGATAATAAAGTAACGCATAATCTTAAAAAATCAAGGCAACCGAATTCTAACTACCATACAATACGCAAAACATTGATGCTAATAACAAAATAAATTCAATACAAATTTAAAAATTAAAATAATTTAGTTATAAAGAAAATTAATCTTGTATATTACATTTGGAAAATATATTTACAAAAAAAATTTCAAATTAAATACATTTTTAAAAAAAATTAAAGAATATAAATATTATTTAAATAAATTAGAAAAAAAATCAAAAATTATTTCATAAAAGCAAAATAAAAGGAACAAAATAAATTATTAATTTCGGACAACATTATCTATTCAATTATTAAATTATATAAAAAAAGGCAATTATAAAAAAAAAATTATATAAAAAAGGCAATTATTATTTAATCAAATTAAAATAAATTAATTATAAAGAAAATTAATCTTGTAATCATTTGAAAAATATATTTACGAACAAAGAATTTCAAATTAAATACATTTTTAAAAATTTAAAGAATATTTATATAATTTAAATAAATTTGAAAAAAAAAATCAAACATTATTTCATAAAAAAAAATAAAAGGAACAAAATAAATTGTTAATTTTAGATAATATTCAATTATTAAATTATATAAATAAAAGACAATTATAAAAATTAAATAAATAACATAATTACTATTTAATAAAATAAAAAATAAATTAATTATAAAAATTGATAACAAAAATAAAAATTAAATATATATATATTTTAACAAAATTGCAGACTGTTAACAATCTAAGCCGACTGTTGACTGTTAACTGTCGTCGGCTCATTGATTGTTAACGGTAGGGCCATGACTGTTAACAGTCTGAATCGACTGTTAACAGTCGGGCGGACAGTTAACAATCGGATCGATCCGACTATTAACAGTCACCGTCTTTTACGATATTTCGCCGAAAATCACCATTGTCGATGATGGAGAGGTCCAAAAATTACAAAAAATTAACATTTTCATCCCAGCATGATCGACAATCTAGCTACTCATGCATCTTCATCTAACACAAATAATTCAATGAATTAAAACTGGAACAAAAAATACAAGCTGTAAGAAAACTAACCGAAATAGTTCGCCCGATGGTAAATACGTGCTTCTGGTTGTCAATTGAAATCACTATGACGTTGGTGGTTTCGACCAGTGCTTGATCGGTCAGTTTTTCTGACAATTGTGGCGTCGATTTTTTTTGAGTTGATCGGTTAGAGAGGAAACTTTCAAACAGTCAGTAGTCTTGAAGGGTAAAATCGTCCTTTTAGTGTAAAGTTATATTTTAACTTAATTTTTTTAATTCATTTAATGGGTCAAAGGTCGATGTTAAAATTTGCTACAGTCCAAAAGTCATTTCCGTATATTTCCTCTCGAGGTTCAAGGTTGAAACGGAAAGAAAAAAAGATTACTGTTGATGTTTATGCTGAAAATTATTTTCTTAGCCCCGTTTGGCCTCCATTATTTTTCATTTCATTATATTTCATTTTTATCTCTCCTATTTTCAAGTACATAATTTTTCATAAAATAGTATTACACGTAAATCGAAAATTTTTCCTTTTTTTAACCACTTATTTAAAAAAAAAAAATACACTCTTTCACCCATTAATTTTTCCACAAAATGGGGGCAAACTAGGGATTAATTAGTTAATAGCAAATGCAGGATTGTTTCTGCGGTGGAAATTCTGAAGTCAATGTTGCCACTCCATAGCATTATTGCATCTGCTTGATTGAAGTCCAATATTGCTTTTCATACTTCCTGCTGGAGCTTGCTTTCTCAAGGTTATATTGTTTCCTTTTTATTTCTCAATTATTGAATTTTGAATTTATTCTATTTTTTAAGGGCAAAATGTATTTCGTTGATTTTTTCATGTTAGTCTTTCTTCATTTAGCATTATACCCTTTAAATATTAAAGTCTTCAGCTATAATAATTTCATTGTATGCTCTATGCCAATTTCATCCAGTTGTTTTGACCGCAAATGGTGTATGGATAACACCTTGCTATTTATCAAACACAAATACGCCTTTTCACATTTTCCCTTGTTCGTAATGCATTTTGCACCAATTTATTTTGAGTTAATTTGATTTTTTATTTTTGGTGATTTTAGACAAGAATGTTGGGATTGCAGTTAATGAAGATGAGTTTAGAGAAAAAGAATGACCACCTAACCTAACAAAATATAAGGTAATTGCGATTGATTTGTTGTTTTGTAGACCTAGGATGATATTTTTTAGGTAGTGATCAATTTGCTGAATTTGATTGTTATGTATTAATTACTGGAGTTAAAAAGAGTGAAAGGAAAGGTGATTGACTAAGATTCTATCTTTGTGTGTTATGAATAATTGCAGTTGCAGTTTGAAAAATATTACAGCAAGTTCCTCTGTCTTATTTGAATCTTATGGGGTGTTATGAAACGGAATTTGTTATTGTTTTTTAGGCAATGAAGCATGAGAAGGGAATCTATAGATGAGACAATCATTTACATTTTACCAAACAAATTGACTTGATGAGCGATACGCGATCTAGAAAGGAATAGGCAAGCGTGAAACATGTAAACAAATTGAAGGTTGTACGCACCAGGGGAAATGAACTGCCAATGAATTTTCCTTCCAACTCTTATTATTCCTCCATTTCGTCTAAAATGCTAATCATAATATTATAATTTGTTATGTCAAAACTAAGAAAAACGATTCATTTTGAGTGTCAATTGCTTTTGTGACACGTCTTGTGGGTTTATAAGTATATTAGGATTGGTTACTGTTATTGTACAAATCAATTTTGGGTACTGTTATTGCACAAGTCAATTTTAGTAATGAGTTACATTCACCATCGTCTAACAATTGTATTACAATGGAAATCCCTTCTTAGGAGTCTCTTATTGTGAACACGATAGGACGACTTGTAGAGTTACCCCATTGAGAAAAATAGACCACCATATCGTTCGTTCTCAAAAGGGTTTATTGTATTGAGTCTATTGACTACTTAGAATAAAAGGCATGTCTTATGGGGACCAATGAGCCCATCATCTCCACCTATATAATGCGAGGGCATGTTTGAGCCACATTTAAAAAAAAAAATACATTCTTAAACAATAATTTGACATCATTTCAAACACACATTTTTCAATAAAATAACATTACATGCAAATCCAAAACTTTCTTTATTTTTTAACCACACATTTTCCATCAATACATTATTCGAAAATTCATTCTAAGCAAAATAATGTGGCTCAAACAAGGGCCTAATAAAAGCCATACCACTCCCATTAGCCTGGCTCCAAGAAACCTTTGTACCCTGCACTCCCCAATCAACACCTAGATGAAGTTGGCAATGTTACTTTAAGTTAAACAATTTACCTTAATGACAAAAGCATTACTCTTCTGTTTGTTCTTATGCTTTTTTCTTGTGTCCATTAATTCACAAAATGCAAATGCAATAGAGACGCTAGCACTTCTTGAAATCGATATTAAAATAATTGATTATCCCTTCAATTTTCTCAATTTCTTGGAATGAATTTGCACATTTTTGCCACTGGCCTGGTGTTGATTGCACTAGAAGACATCAACAAATTACAAACTTGAATCTGCAGCATCAGAAACTAACAGGATCTCTGTCCCCATACATTGAAAATCTTACATATTTTAAATTAACTTATTCTTGATAACAACTTCTTTACAGAAAACATTCGTCGAGAACTTGCAAAGTTGAGAAGATTGAGATTCTTATGGCTAAGAAATGACTCATTTGATGGAGAAATTCTTGTCAATCTGTCTTCTTCTTCTAATCTCATCGAGATTTGCCTTTCATGGAATAATCTTTATGGGAATATTTTTCAATAGAACTTGGATCTTTGCCAAAGCTTCGGCTGATTCAAGCTCCAAGAAATAGTACTGTAGGTGAAATCCCGAGTATTTTTGGGTTTCATCCCTGGAGATTTTCAAGCTTTCCTCCAACAGGCTTATTGGGAGGATTACAAATGAATTTGGACAACTGAATACATTGGATTAAGTGAAAACATATTGTCTGGTTCTCTCCCTCCCATAATTTCAATCTCACTTCTATTACAACTATTTTTGTGCCAATGAACCAAATGCAAGATACACTTCCATCTTACACAGGCAACAGAGTTGGTGGAGGCGGTGTTGATGGTTTCGACTCCAATCATTAGAGTATAGATTTTCTATGATTTTTTTTTTCATTTTATCCTCATATGTATATTAATAATTTCTTTCGAATATATGATGTCTTATTTCTCTACCTTACTATTCTCTTATGTGTCTCTAGCTATGTTTGCACGTATTAATTTACGCACCCTTTTCAAAAAGCATCATATTCTTTTCAAATTAGCTATATTCAAGTTTAGACGATGGAAAGATATTATAGGAATTTTCATCAAGTGAGATTCAAGTATATTAATAAAGACATCGCGTATTGAGTTACGTTATGAAGTTGTCGAAGCACGTAGTTGACTTGGAGGACTCATCTTTGACCAGTAACATACTGCTGAAGACGAACTATTACATGTATATGTTACTGCTTCTGGTAGGATTATGATCAGTTTCTTTCAATGCAAATTTCTCTAATCATGAAAATATTTTTAAGGGTATAGAATGTAGTAAATAACATTGAACTCCACGCCTCCATATGATGAAAGTTGATAGCATATAATTTTGGATGAAGCTATTTTCTTAAAATGACATTGTTAATGGGTAGATTCAAAGAACGATGATAATTTTTTGCAATTTGCTTTCAGGTCTTTGTTGTGTCCAAATTGAATGTTCCTGGTGCATGACAGATGCCTCAGGTGATGTTGTCATAATTTCCCCCCTTCAATGCTATTGTTTCGACTGATATCATGTGTAAAATTTGTCACTATCTTTATCTAAGCCCTATTGTATCAAGCCTTTCATGGTTGAATTAAGATAGAGTAAAGAGGTAACTGCCTTTATATAATGATCCAAACTTCTAAGAAGTAATCACAAAACTTTTACTTCTTTTGACAGGTTTCGTCAAGTTGGGTAGACCAATGTTATTTCGGGATGAACTGAGTTTAAATTTGATCTCAAGGAAAAAACTAAAGTTAACATATCCTACTTTCAGTTTCAACCCAATTTTATGGAGAATTATAGGTTTGAAGGGCGTCAAAGGTTAGAAATCAGTACCAAAAACTGTTGAATATTCATCTTTGTTCAATGATTGATGTTCAGAACATTTAATTGACCATGTGTTTCATTTGTTTAAAGTAATTTCCTTATTCATCAATGTTATGCTGTTGCTTTCAAATTTCTCGATGTAGGAGGAATTGAAGATGTTCTAATGAGAGCGTACATCTTGCTTTTGATTTAATGTCTCTAGGAAAGAAGGACAACATTATAGGATAATAATATTCTGATGGTGCAGATTGTTTTGGAAAGAATAGCAAAAAATACTCATGGCTATGTTGGTGCTGACCTTGCTGCTCTGCACTGAAGCTGCACTCCAGTGCCTAAGAGAGATTATTATTATTATTTTGATAGGTAAAAAGGATATTATTGATTTGGAAGACGATTCTATTCACGGTGAGATACTAACTCCATGATTGTTACCAATAAGCACTTCTAGACTACTCTAGGAAAAAGCAACCTATCCGCTTTATGGGAGACCGTAAGTGGATTTTGACTGCTATATATTTTGCTTGATATTTGTTTATATATGTTTGTTGTCATTTTTTTTTTTAATGACGAGGGAACCCGCAGCCGTTACCCTTCGAGTGCGCACTAGATAAACCCTCGAGCTGACGCAATAGCCTGCAAATCATGCCAATCAGGTAAACCGCACAGGCAAGCCTGGTGCGACAACATGTTTGTTGTCAATTTTGATATGAGATTATTACGTGAAATAGCAGGTTGCCCGATATTTGCCTACTTATGTTTGTTGTCAATTTAATATTCCAAATGTATGAATCACTTCATTGCTTAGTTAAGTGATTCATTAATAAAATAACATTTAACTAATTTGATCTTATAAAGTAGAAATCATCCTTTAAATTGAGTTTCTCACAATTATATCCCGTATAATAAAAGTATATAAACATTGACAATTGTCTGCTTATTTTGTGACAAAGAACTATATTACTATGATGTTTACACCTGTACATTTAATAAAATTGGATACAAAATATTATAAACTTTAACAGTATATAACTAACTTCAATAAATAGATAGTCGTAACGAAAAGTTAAATACAATGAATACCAAATGTTTGTATCAAGAATCAAGTATAAAAAGAAAAGAGATAAAAAGTAAGTCAATTTCAACCAATTTATGATTATATTTCATGTTTATAAATGAATTTCTCTCAAATTTAATACACTTAATTTTAAAATTAATCAAACAACGTGCAACGTATGTTCACCTCACTAGTTTTAAAGAAAAAGATGTATCACTAGTTTTATAGAAAAAGATGTACTAATGTATATAAAAATGAAAAAGTTTGTGTACAGAACCACACTTTTACCACCCTCTCACAGAACATGGGGCCACTATTATTTTAATCGCAGACCCCACCCCTAATGTGAGAGGGTTGTTATAGTTGCCATCAAAGTAATTGTACCTAGTATGTCTCTATTTATAGAGCTTGCCTCCCGTTACTTCTCTCTCCACAGTCGCGAAATTGCATACTTTTTCACATTTTCTCTCTCTGCATTTGCTGGGACCTTTGGGAAACTGCGAACACCACTTTGTGGTATCTATAATCAAACCTTCAAGAGGCAGCAATCCATTTCAAAACCCAATTTTAAATTTTCATTCTCCAATATTTTTCATTTTGTCTTCTGATATTTTTGCCATAGGCGTTGTTTGTCTGTTGAACCCTCACATATATTCTATTAAGTCATGTTAGCCTAAGGGTATTTAAGTCTTTGTACAGCATTTTTTTATTATAGATCGGTTTGCTGCTAGTTGCATCTTTGTATATATATATACACTTGTACAGTTCAAAGTCATGCAATGTGAATTGAGATTTCTTTCCCGCCATATTCTCTTACCCTTTCAATTCTAGAATACTCTACAGCTAACTTCTCATGGTATCAGAGCATTGATGCTTCTCTGCAATGGCAAGTGAATCAAGTGCTCAATCAAAGATCAAAAATCAGTCCAATTAAACGAATTCATCGATCAGATTGTCTGCTGATGAAGTGGTAACTGGAGATATGGCTGCTCTCGTTGATTGATTGATAAGTGATTCAAGCAGTCCGTATTATTTGCATCATGGCGATAATACAGAAATGCAACTCACCAATGTCATGCTCACCGAGGAAAATTACGCAACGTGGAGCCCTGCTGTTATTATGGCGCTCAGCGTCAATAATAAGGAAGGATTCATTGATGGATCAATTGTTAAACCTTCCTTAAATGATCCTCTTTATGGTGCTTGTAGGAGATGCAACCANAAGGACTTAAATGATCAATTCAGGTTAAAAGACTTGGGGCTTCTGAAGTATTTTCTAGGCGAGGACCTCCAAGGGCATATTCATTTGTCAAAGAAAGTATGCGTTGGAAATCTTGGCAGATGATGGTTATCTTGGGGCTAAACCAGCAAAGATTCCTTTACCACATAATTTAAAGTTGAGCAAAGATGGAGGGAAAAGTGTTGAAGATCCAAGTATGCACCGAAGGTTGGTAGGAAGGATATTGTACTTGACAATAACAAGGCCTGGTTTATCATATGCAGTACAGGTCCTTAGCCAATTCCTTGAGTCACCAAAATAGTCCCATTTGGAAGCGGTGCACCGTGTATTGAGATACTTGAAGGGGACATCCGGACAAGGTCTATTTTTTAGTAGCAAATCTGATCTACAGCTCAAAGGATTTTGTGATACAGATTGGGCAGCTTGTTTGGATACAATGAGGTCGATTACAGGCTATTGCATATTTATGGGAAATGCACTAGCGTCTTGGAAGTATAAGAAACAACACACGGTGTCAAGATCATCAGCCGAAGTAGAATATCGTTCCGTGACAACTGCAGTTTGTGAATTGAGTTGGTTGAAAAACATACTCAGTGATTTGAGTGTTGTACACACTAAGGCAGCGTTGCTTTTCTGTGATAATCAATCCGCCATACACATAGCCAGCAATCCAATGTTCCATGAAAGAACGAAACATATAAAAATTGATTGTCACCTTATAAGGGATAAAGTGCAGGTAGGAGAAGTAAAAATGTTACATATGGCTTCACAAGGTCAATTGACAGATTATTAACTAAACCGTTGGGGGGAGCCAAATTCAAGTCATTGTTAGACAAGATGGGAATACTAAACATATATTCTCCATCTTGAGGGGGGAGTATTAAGTCATGTTAGCCTAAGGGTATTTAAGTCTTTGTACAGCATTTTCTGTTATAGATTAGTTTGCTGCTAGTTGCATCTTTGTATATATACACACTTGCAGGGGCGGAGCCCCATTAGGCCCAGTGCGGGCAGATGCCCGCACTGAACTTTTGGGCTGGCCCAATTTTTTTTTTTTTTTAAGTCCCAGTTAACAGCAGCCCAAGTGAAGTAACCATAGCCCATAACCCGTTTACCGACCCAGACCCATCAATTAAATAACCCGTTTGAAATCAACATCTAACCAAACTCGTTTGAAATCAAAAATCTAATCAAAACCTAATCAAAATCGCGTCTCTCTCCCCATCTCTCGCCTCAGGGTCGCCTGCTTGGCTGCTTCTCTGAGTTCTCTCGAAGCTCCGTCGGACTCTCGCCGGCTCTTCTACTTCCAGTCCTCCACCGGTGGCCACATCTCCTGGATTAGTGTATCAAATATCCCCAAAGTCGAAACTTGAAACCCCAATTTTCCCCCACCCAAGTCCGCACTCCGCAGGCCGCCACAACTGAACTGCCGTTTTGCATCGATGAAGGTAATATTTCATGAATTGTTCGACTACTAGTGTAAAAAAAGGTGTCCTTTATGTCTATGAAGCTTGTATTTATTTTCATTGATTTCAGACTGGCTGGACTGCTGGAGCAGTGGAGCCGCTGGAGTCGGCTAGACAGAATTGTTTCCAGATGAAACGAATGAAATGGATTAATGGAACACGTTTATTTGTATAATAATTTGGCCGTGTTTGAGTGTTTCGATTTGTAATTTAAAATTATTTCCACAATTCCACTGCATTGT